CTCTCCCACAAACAGTAGAGATGGTGAACCCCCCAATGGAATGGCTTAATGTCTCCCCCAGAATCCCAACCCTTCCCAGCACTCCTGACCCACGCCCATTAGTTAGCTCTGGCCTGTGCCCTGGCAGACTCCCCCCCAAGCCTGAGCAATCCGTATCAAACCCCCCCACTCTCCCCTTAAAATTTGATTAAAAAACCCCTGTAAAAACCCCCTAAGAAGTCTCTTCTTCACATGCCATAGAGGTACTTTCAGAAGAACTAATCTTAATCAGTTATATAGTAAACTTAGTATAGAAGCATGCCTAATACAAGGGGAATTAGATATTTTTAATGATTTTTTTAAAAAAGTCTAATGCACATACTATTGCAGAACGTTTAGCATCAAAAAAGCAGTCCTCATTTTTCTATGTATTGAATAAGAAATTCAGATTATTTTGCAAGGGAATACAGTATGATGCTATGTACAGAGTGAAAGGATTAAAGTCTTCCATACGAAAATATTTTTGAATTGTTGCAATATCTGAATAAAAGTGAAAAATACCCTTTTAGAGTCAATATAGATAAACCAGCCTATTATAGAAAGGACATAACCAAATTCATTTTTGTATGTGCTTGTAATGCTAAGTAGTTTAATGTCATTAGGACTAATAGATATGACAAAAACATCTGATCAAGCATGATTATTACAGTGACTAGTTAAGAAACATGCCTGTTTTGCTAGTTTTGCTTTTTAAAATTAGCATTAGTTCTTTTTCTTATAAACAACTAAACAGTGTTTTAATTGGCACAGGAGGGAAGAAAGCTCTGCTTTAAAAAAATAGCCTTCACACCTACATAAGATGAAAAATAAAAATTGAATATGGGAATTGAAATCTGCCAACTTATTTTTTTGAAGCAATTATTTTTTGGAGCAACTAATGGTTGATAGGAGAAAGCTTGACATTCATAAAACTGCTGCAGTTAGGGGCATAACTATTACAGGTAGTCCTCGACTTACGACCACAATTGTGCCCAAATGTTCTGTTGTTAAGTGAAGCATTTGTTAAGTGAGTTTTGTCCCATTTTACGGCCTTTCTTGCCACAGTTGTTAAAGAAGTCGCTGCAGTTGATAAGTTAGTATGATGGTTGTTAAGTGAATCTGGCTTCCCCATCTGGCTTGTCGGAAGGTCGCAAAAGGTGATCACATGACCTTGGGGCACAGCAACGGTCATAAATATGAATCCGTTGGCAAGCATCTGAATTCTGATCACATGATCATGGGGATGCTGCAAAGGTTGTAACTGAAAAAGACTCATGTCACTTTTCAGTGCCGTTGTAACTTTGAACAGTCACTAAATGAGAAGTTATAAGTCCGGGACTACCTGTAGATAATAAAATGCTACCTGTTGTCCCATTATCTTTGTTTGAATAGAAAATGTACAGGTAGTCCTTGACTTACAACCATTGCTTAATGACCGCTACAACAGCCCTGAAAAAGTGACTTATGACTGTTTTTCACGTATAACTATTGCAGTATTCCCATGGTCACATGATCAAAATCCAGCTCCTTAGCAACTGGTATTTATTTATGACCATTGCACTGTCCTGGGATCATGTGATCACCTTATCACAAGATTGTAATCTCAGCCAACGCTTGACAATTAAAGGGAAGCCAGGTTCACTTAACGACTCCATGATTCACTTAACAACTGCAGTGATTCACTTAACAACTGTGGCAAAAAGTCACAAAATGGGGCAAAAGTCACTTAACAACTGCCTTGCTTAGCAACAGAAATTTTGGGCTCCATCGTGGTTATAAATCAAGGACTACATGTATAGGGCTATTTTGCCAGCTTTTTGCTTATATTGACTGCATAGATAAATCCAGAGATTTACACGTTCTATATATTTTACCAACGCAAAGGTGGGGCAGGGAGCCTGGCAGGCCTCGACAGGTATCTCTAATCACTCATCATCAGGTCAGTATTTTGCTCTCTAAACAAGCTTAATGTGATTCCAGTCAATTTACCGAACTAGATCAAGTCCCATGGAAGATGCTCCCCTATATAATATCTAACATGCAATGGATAGTGTACTACACTCGAATACATATGAGCACTGGTGGTGAAATGGTTAGAATGCAATATTGCAGGCTAATTCTGCTGCCTGCCAGCTGCCTGCAGTTTGGTAGTTCCATTCTCACTGGCTCAAGGCTAATTCAGCCTTCCATTCTTCCAAGGTTGGTAAAATGAGGACTCGGATTGTTGGGGGCCATATGCTGACTCTGTAAACTGCTTAGAGATGGCTGTAAAGCACTGTGAAGCGGTATGCAAGTCGAAGTGCTATTGCTATTGCTACAGTATGCAAGATACCAGGCAATCTAACATCTGTTTGAGAATACAGCTCCCACAATTCCAAAGTATGGATAGTCTTCAACTTACAAGAGTTCACTTAGTGACCATTCAAAGTTACAACACCCTCTTAAAAAGTGACTTATGACCATTTTTCGCACTGATAACTGTTGCAGCAACCCCACGGTCACATGTTTCACATTCGAATGCTTGACAACTGGTTCATATTTATGACGGTTGCAGTGCCCTGAGATCACGTGATCCCCTTTTGCAACCTTCTGACAAGCAAAGTCAATGGGGAAGCCAGGTTCACTTAACAACTGTGTTACTAATTTAACAACTGTGGTGATTCACTTGAAAAATGTGGCAAGAAGTCATGAAATGTAGCAAAAATCACCTAACAAAGTTATGTCACTGCCCTGTGACACCCAGCTGCTCAGTGGAGGTCACGCAGGCATCGCACCCTGTGCGCACGTGCACAATTGACCGGTCGTGTTATAAACAGCTATGGAACGCAGGTGGATGGGTGGTACAGTGGCCACTGCTCCTGGCTACTACTGGTATGGGCCGTACCACCCGGAACTCACCACTGATACAGTCTTGCTCTGATTAAGTGATGCTGCAAATGGAAAAGTCAAAGCACCTGGCTAGCATTGTCTGGGTTTGAAATCCATGCAACTGCATGTCCAGTAAGCAGATGGGAGTCCACCAGGTGGTAGTCTAGACTTGGCACTCAAAAGAAACATCCTGGAGAAAGACAGCAACCAGCTGTGTCAATATTTCTACCCATAAAACTTCATGGACATTTCCATGAAGTCAACAGCAATTAAGCAGAAGGTTTCCTCTGCTACATTTTTATAGCTGAATATATAGGGCCCTTATAGTTACATTTCCATTCAATAGAACACACTCATCATATTGATAAAAATAAGATCACTGATCATTTTTCTTGTGCCGTCTTAAAATGGTATGGACTACCAACCAGGCCAGTCATAAGCATCTAACAGTTTAGCCAATGGTGGATTAAGGCTCACTGGTGCCCAAAGCACTGGCAAATCTTGATGCCCCCACTCCTGAACAAATCTTCATTGGGTTTTTTTCTTTTTCTCAACTTTGTGGTGCCCCCTTGGATCTGGTGCCCTAAGCACGTACTTAGTCTCCTTAATGGTTAATACACCACTGCGTTTAGCAATTAAGGCTTAGTGGCTACAACCTTCAAAGAGGATAGCAGGGCAGCCTTAATTCTCATTCCTATTTCACTTCTGAGCCTCAATCTGGAACGTTAATGGATCAGGCCTGGCAGAAGAGCTTACATTTTGTAGGGCAGATCTTGAGAGACTTCCACCCCACCCACGCCCTTCACAGCTTCTCTCATCCAACAAAGGCCAGCCTGCAAAACTGGCCAACAGAAGNCTCTCTCTCTCTTCCCTCCCTGGTGCCCTCGCAGGTGGAGCTGGAACGGGGGAAGACGCTGCACATCAAGGCCTTAGCCCTGGGAGACCTCAACCGGGCTGGCCAGAGGGAAGTCTTCTTCGAACTGAATGGACAGCTGCGCTCCATCCTGGTCAAGGACACCAAGGCCATGAAGGTAACGAAAGAGGCAGGCGGGAGGCAGGGCAGGGCTGGCACCTTAAAGAATTCAACCCCGGGGGATTGGGTTTTGCTTTACAGAGTTATCGGTCTTCTTTAAAATCAGTGGCATTTAAAATATATCTCTTACTCATAAATGATATTTAGGTTAATTCCTAACGCCATTAGCCACAACCTGTTCTAAGATTGTCAACCAAGTGAGTGTCTACTACTTCCCAATGAAGCCACCTTCCTCCCCCGTCTCCACCAGCCCCCTTGCACTCTCTCCTGGGCAGGAAGCAATGGAAGGAAGCCGGGGGTGCCTCTGCCCACCTCACACACTTAATCTTGCCTTGCCAGGAGATGCACTTCCACCCCAAAGCCCTGAAGGACGTCAAGGGCCAGGTGGGGGCTCCCATGCCTGGGAAAGTCATCGACATCAAAGTGAAGGAAGGCGGGCAGGTTGAGAAGGGACACCCGCTCTGCGTCTTGAGCGCCATGAAGATGGAGACCGTGGTCAACTCGCCCATGTCAGGCACGGTCAAGAAGATCTATGTCAAGACTGAGATGAGCTTAGAAGGGGATGATCTGATCCTGGAGATTGAGTAGCCGTCTCGTCCCAGGGACCCCAAAAGCTGCGGCGGCTTCTGAGCAACCTGCAGGGCTGCCGAGAGGCCCTCAAAGCAAGTTTCCCAGCTTTCATCACTGGACCCCCCCTTTCCCTCCCCTCCCCTCCTCTAGGGGAGGAGCAGGGCTTAAGGAGGGCAGGGGACTCATTGCTCCCCCCTCCTCTGCGAGTATCGTGGCACTCGGCACTCCTTGTTGCCTTCCTCCTTCCGGCAGAGAGAAAAGGAGCCGAGTGTGAAGAAACTGCTGTGGCTGCCCACCCCCATCTCTCTTGCACCCCCTTTTCCTGGAGGCTGTGAGCCAGTTTGGCAGTAGAAGCGGCCACTTCTGTCCCAGGCGGGGCAAGGGGTGTGGGTGGGTTTCTTCCTCTCCAGCTGCCTCTTCTGCCTCCCTCCTTTCTCCTTCCTTTCTGCAGGATAACCTTTGCCCCCATTGGAAGCTTTTTTCCCCAGAGGGGGAGCGGTCCCTCCCTGCTCCCTCCCTTCATCCATCCACCTCATCCCTTCCATTTCAGTTGCCGAACCGAGGAAGGTTGGCTGTGCCCAAGTTTAAACCTTGGGCCGCCCCTTTGCGACGTTAAAGCCAGCTAAGCCGAGACTCCAGGATTGCTTTGGAGGGGGTGCAGGGGCTGCCGTCCCTCCTTCCACCACTGGAGGCGGCAGTGCAACCAAATCATGATTTTCCTGTTGCCAATTATTGGGTCGATCATCTGGGCTGGGCCTGAGAATCGTGGATGGATTTTAGTTGGGTAAAACAAGGGAAGGGCAAAACTTTTAATGGAAGCCCTTGAAATAAATGAAATAAAATGCGATGGCTCTGTGTGTTTCCTTGCACTCCTTGACGTGCCTTCCCTCGGCTACTTCAGCCTTGGCTAACTTACTTGAGAGCTTCCTTTTGCAAACTGTGTCAGAAGAGCAGCAGGAAACCTGAGGAAGAGGGCTAGGATGCTTCGCGTTTGTTCAGGAACTGTTCAAAATTACAAGGGCCCTGAACCAACTGGCAGAGCAGAAACACAGGAGACCGTGGATCGCTTTGGCCCTCTGGGTGTCCACTTTGGGCCAGGAGGGAGTGCTAGGGAGGGAGGAGGCTGTGGGGCTTGGCCCTCGGAGACACTCAGTAGTTTGTGGGGTGGGGGGGTTTGTAAAAGACAAGTTTATACTTTATTTTCAATGCTCGCTTCCAGCGTCTCCTTGACCCTCTTTCTAGTTGCTACAAACACTCCCCCATCCACACACACCCATTTTTCACATTGCTCAAGGGCATCTCTCTGTTTCAGCTGAGCCAGCACCGAGTGGGACTGCAGGGCAGGTCATTTGCTGGGCTGGTAGTCTAAGGCCGCCCTTGGTTTNGGGGGGGGGGATTTAGCAAAGGTTTGATATGAATAAAGGCCTGTAGAAACTTGCTAACATTAGAATAAGATTGTATCCATATTCAGTGTTCAACAGAAACATGCTATAAAATTCAATAAACTCCCTGATTGAGTATTTGAACCAATGGAAACATGTTGGTGACTATACTTTTTATGGATTTTATGTTTTATGGTAAAAAAAAAAATTCACATTCATTTCTTTTTAAATGTAAATTTCTTTCCATCTTGTTTAAGAAGAAAAGTGTGAATTTTAGAAAGTTTTAATATATAAAATAACAAACAAAATTCTAACTCAACTGTAACCATTCAGAAGGTGAAGAAAGAAGGTTGTGGTTAGGGCTGGGTTCCTGCCGGTTCTAACCGGTTTGGTAGAAGAGGTTCCACAAATCTACTGTGCCGTTTAGAACTGGTTCCATTGGAACCCCTCTCTCGCTCACCTCCGCCTGTCTGGGCACCGCTTGTTCGCTTGCTCCCCCCGCCCGTCAGCACCACGCCTCTAACAGCCCTATAGAGAGCCGTTGGCTCTCTATTGCTGCCTGCCGAGGAGGTAAGTAAGCTCTTTGTTGGCGCAGCGACTTTTGGGGCTAATGGGGCTTGGGTTTCCAGCCCGACAGCCCCTGCCACTTCTGGACGTCTATTGCAGTCGCAAGGAGCCGAGGAGAGCGCGGAGAAGAACGTGAAGGTTCTTAGTGCTCTGGGAAGCCAAGAAAGGGTGTGTTTGGGTCTACTGTGACATCCAGGGAGGCTAAACCAAGCCATGCACCTCTCCCAGCTGCTTTTGTGGCTTCCTGGAGTGCCAAGAACCTTCGCGATCTCCTTGGCTCCTCACGACCGCAATAGACGTCCAGAAGCGGCGGGGCCTGTGGACTAGAAACCCAAGTCCCATTAGCCCCAAAAGCCACTGCGCCAGCGAAGAAGGGCTCCACGTGGCTGCTGGCTTACAAACATGGCTGCCAGAATGCTGACCAAGCCTCCGGAGCCTCAGAGTCAGAGCCCTGCAGTGCACCCAACCCCCAAGCAGCTGGAAAGGCCATAGCCACTGACAGGGACTTACTTCTGAGGAAGGGCCTCAGAATTGCCAGCTGAGGCCTTTCTTAAAGTCCCCAACCTCGCCTGGCAGGCCAAGTCTGCCAGCCAGGCCACCTTACCTGCTGCCTGGTCACCTGCATGCTCCTTGCATCCATCACATTGGAGAGCTGCTGATTCTGCCTGCTGGTAAGTGAGCCAGTTTTTTTCTTTATGCTTTTAATGTTTTTTTAAAACAATTATTTATTGTGTATAGAATATTTTTAATGGTTTTATTTTAATTTATTGTGTATATAATGTTTTTAAGTTTTATTTTAATTTATTGTGTAT